CTCCTGGTTTTCCCTGGATTTGGCTCTGCACACCTTCTTCCCTTGGTTGGTGTTGCTTTGTGCGTTTGTGGTGGGGAATCGCAGGCCATGTGGGGTGTCCTGGAAGACCTCTGATGGTCATGGAATCTGGGGCGGGGCACCTGCTGTGCCCTCTCGCCTCTGTGCATCCCCAGACTCATGTCCTCGTCTGTCTCTGACCGTCCAGAAGGTCCACCGAAACCTGTTCAGCATGGCATGCACCTCCCCTGAGAGTAGGCTGGCTGGCGGCTGTGTGTGAGGTGTCTTGGCCAGGAATCGAACCCGGGTTTCTCACATGGAGGTGTTAATTCTACCACAGACCCACCACTGCACCTCACTAATAAACGTGTAATATTGTTAGTACAGGAGCCCTGGAGACGTAGTGGTTACGAGGGCGGTTAACTGCAAGGGCCGTAGTTTAAAACTGCTAGCTGCTCATGCTACCTCTGAGGCGAGGCTACGGGGGAGGTCCACCTGGTCTCTGCAGGGGGGCTGCCACAATCATCACCTGTCCTTTTCCTGTGGCCATGCTGGGCCTGCATTTCCACCTGGCAACAGTAGGAGGCGCTGCAGAACAGCACCCTTAGCTGCCTGGTCATTTGCTCTCGGGTGGGCTGCAGCCCCACTGCTCCCATTGCCTATCCAGCCAGCTGCGCTCGCTCCCTTGACCTGCCTGGCTCCTGGAGGTGAGAGGTTTGCAATCTCGGGTCTCAGAGAATGTTGCTGAGGCAGGTCAGCACTGGGGATGAGCTTTCTGTTCCCATGCTAGAACAGAGACCTCCTTCCATACCACCCTACCCATTCCAGCTGCCACCCCTGCCCAGTTGGGGACAGAGCGCACCTTCGTAGAGAATGCCCTGGTCGTCCCTGGTCTGCAGGAAGCTCAGCTTCCAGTGCTGTCTGTTCTTGTCCGTCAGCACGGTCCCCAGGGGCAGGGCCTCGAGGGAGGCAGTCACCCGGCTCCGCTTCAGGGTCTGGGGGCTTTGGCGGGTGGTCTGGGGGCTTTGGCGGGTGGTCTGGGGGCTTTGGCGGGTTGCCTGGGGGCTGGTTTTGGGGGTCGGCGGTTTGTTCCAGGGCCCTGCAGGAGGATGGTCTCATGAAGAAGCAAATGGGAGCAAGGAGTTGGTGGGGAGAAGCCAGTGCAGGGACTCACTCCATCCATCCATCCATCCATCCATCCATCCATCCATCCATCCATCCATCCAGTCCTTTCCGTGGCACAAGCTGCCTGCTGCCTTCTTAGGGCCAGTCCTACATAAGCCTCAGACCCACACCTTCCCTTGGGGAGACCCAGGACTGGTAGGGGAATCAGTGTGGACACAGCCCGTCAGAGGGCCATGGGGGCACAGAGGAGAAAGTGACTGGCTGCTTGGAAAAGTCAGGGGAGGGCTCCGGGTTCAGGCAGGGCATCTGGGCGAGGCTTTGTTGGGCGAGTAGAGGGTTGCTGCGGCGCTGCTGCTCTGTTGCTGTTGAGGTAACTCCCCCACATGCGCAGGGCTGTCGGGCTGAGCCAGAGCTTCCTAGGCTGTGGCCTTGGGGGAGCAGATGGCCAGGCCTGGCTTCCAAGGAGCCCCTGGGCGGGTTTGAGCCGCCCACCTCTGGGCAGCAGTTGAGCACCTCACCGAGTGCCCACCTGTCTGCACCACCCTCTGCGCAGGGAGGAGGAGCTCACCGGCAGCTCACTACAAACACCTGGCACTGAGGCTCTGCCCTGGCTGCAGAGTTTGAGGGTGATCCACGGCACTGACTGCGTGTGGGAAAGGGGGGGGGGGCAGAGGGGCACGTGGGTTTGGTTCCGTTTTCACCATATTACAAACGAACCAGCCCCCAAACCCCAACTCAACCCGCTGTTGCCAAGTCGATACCAACTCAGAGTGGCCCAGAGCGCAGAGCAGAACTGCTCCCTGGGTTTCCGTCCTGCTGGAGCGGGTGGCCTCATCTTTCTCCCTCAGGGCGGCGGGTGAGCGGCCCAACCCTTACCTGATGGCACTGCCTGGGCTCCTTCAAAACAACCCCGGCCCTGGCCCCTGCACCACCACCACCACTGCCCCCAGGGCAGCTGGCCTGTCTGATGACAGTCCAGGCACCAGCCAGAGCTCTGGCGCTGACGGCTGAGGATGGGAGGCAGAGGCTAACCTTGTCCTCCGCCCCAGCTCAGAGTCGGGGAGCCCTCTGCGGCCTGGAGCGGGGGTGGCTTGGGGTGGGGGAGGGAGAGAGGGATCCAAGAGGAGGTACCCGGCAGCAAGGAGAAGGTGAACACATTCTTGCAGTCCACCCCCACCCCCTTATCCGCATCCCCAGGGCTGGTTGGACGTGGGGTGCAGACAGACTATGGGATCATACCTGGTTCCTGTCTGTGAGAGACACCCAGTCCAGAGAGGGAGGCTGAAAGGGAGCCTAAAGGGGTGGGGGGGGGAGGAGGGAGAGACATGGCTCAGATGAGGGGGGCAGCAGGCGTCAGGGCGATGAGCGCCCCTTTCTTCAGTTTGGGCGATAGCGCTTTTCTACTCTCGGCTTCTACCTGCAGCACTGTGTGGGTGCTGTACCCAGGTGGCTGCAGCCTCGGGGATTTAAACTCACAGGGCCCCCTTGCTAGCCTAGCCTGGCTAGGAGCGAGCATGTGTGAACCGTTGGGGTGGGAAAAATCCTTTTGGGGCCCTTTTCTAAGGAAGGGCAGCTTTCGATGGTCTTTGAACATTTTCTGAATAAGGCCTCATGAGCATCCTGTGTCCTTTAGGAAAATCTGCCAAGATGACCCCGCTGGAATTCCCACAAACGGTCACCATGGCCTTCTGCACCGACCTCTCTCCGCCTTGAATTTAACTGGCCTGGGAGATCCAGTGTTGTGGCTGGACCTGGCCTTTGAAGGGCCCCTAGTGAGACTCAGGCAAGTGGAGGTAGACTTGCTGCCACGAGAGTGGTGGTTGGGAAGCAAACCACACATGGATGAACGGGGTGGAGCCCTGGAAGCGATACTTTCTGACTTCCCCAGAAATCCGCTTCCCTGAGAAGGTGACGCCAGAATAAAGCCCTGAAGGGACACAGGGAGATGGGTGTGGACAGAGATAACAGCAGGTTCCAAGGCCCAGCTGCCCAGAGGGAGGTTTGAACAGGGCTCTGCAGGGGAAAGAGGCGGCTTGGTGCAAGCTGAGGGCATCCCAGAAAGGCTTCCTGAGGGCCGGGTCCTGTGCAGGTTGGAAAGGGGGCAGACGGAGGTGGGGGGGTGGGGGGGCGGGGAGAGGAGCTGGCCATCCTGGGTGGGGGTGGGGTGGGGTGGGGGGTGGAGGCAGATAGCATCAAGACCAGAAGCTGACTCTCCCACAAAGAAAAAAACAAACAATCCAAGCAGTGAGTGTCCTGGGTAAAAGGAGGGGGGTCTCCGAGGCCAGGCTGCAGGCTGAGTGCTTGGGCTGTGGGGTGATGCGAACAGCAGGGGGCTGTTCGGATGGGAGGGGACAGGCTGGAGAGGGCAGCTGGAGGCCGGGTGGGGGGCACGAGCAGAGGGGGTTGATGTCTGACCTGGCTGTGGCGGCCTTTTTCCCACCTGGACGCGGGCCAGACTGACCTCGGCTCCTACCTCTGGGCCGCTGAGATTTCCTCAGTAACTCCTTAGACTCGGAGCTGTCACTGTCGGAGCAGAGGGACGACGGGGGAGAGGTGACCGTGCTGGACCATTTCACTTTCTTGCAAGGGGTTTCAGGACTGGAGCTCGGATCTTTCCTGGCGCCTACAAGAACGCAGCACAGTCAGCCAGGCCCTTTCCTGTCCTCGCCACTCTGGAAACCCGAGGTCCCATTCAAGCACTCTCAGCTCCCAGCCCTCCAAGTCAAGCGGTGCTGTCTCCACCAGGGGTCCTCAAACTTTTTAAACAAGGGGCCAGTTCACTGTCCCTCAGACCGGTTGGAGGGCCGGGCTATAGTTAAAAAAAACAAACTATGAACAAATTCCTATGCACACTGCACATCTTATTTTGAAGGAAAAAACCAAACAGGGCAAAAACATGGGGCGGGCTGGATAAATATCCTAGGCGGGAGGATCCCTGGTCTCCACCATCTAAATCCCTAAGCAAATGATCCCTGCCTCTTCCTGGGGCATCTTCCCATCCAGTGCTGATTCTCCCCAGTGGCTCTGCACAGGGTTCCTGAGACAGTAGATTGCTTGGGGGAGCAGACAGACTCATCATTCCTCTGTGGAATGGCTAGGGGGTGGGTTTGAACTGCTGACTCGGTGGGTTCGAGGCCCAACCCCACAGTGCCACCAGAGCTCCCGTGTGTCTTGGCTTCGCTTTTGAAGCTTCTTCTGGCCGTCTGTGCGCTCTTCCCACCGCTGTCTTTAGACCTATCACTCGGTTCACTCATGCTCTCCAGCTGGGTCCCGCTGCCTCGCTGGGTTCCGGTGTTCGCTCCTCCTCCTTCCAGTCCTGCAGAACTCTGTCCTTGGGCAAATGCTGCCCTTCTGATCTCGATGGTTGACGGTTCTAAGGAGGTCGTACCTCCCTGGTGTTACTGTTCCCCTTACAGGCATAGCTACTGTCTGACTAAGGAGTGCTGGGGGTGCACCGGGGGGCTGTGTGCAGTTGGAACCCACCAGTGGTCGCTCTGAGGGAGAGAGATGAGGCTTTCTCCTCCAGGAAAGACTTTCAGGTTCAGAAACCCATAGGGGTAGCTTTACTCTCTCCTGGGGTGAGGGGTGGGGGTGGATACGAGTTAGAATAGACTTCATGGCTGTGAGCACTGCTTGGCTGAACAGTGAAGTGCTGGGACGGGCTCTGCTCCGGCCTGAAGGGTGATCACAGTCTTCAGGCCATAGGCAGTTCTTAAAGGGACGTAACGCTCAGGCAGATCTTTTTACTAGTGAAGCTAACCTACTACCTACCGGTCTCATGTAGCCTTTCGGGCATGTTTTGGTTTAAGAGTCTGAGGGCGACACGTGTCTGCTCCGACTACCTTCTGTCCCCGTCGGTACAGGACTGACACCTTGCCATCAAGAGACAGATGAATGAGCACGTGGCTCCCCCGCTGGGCAAATGAGACCGGCAGCAGCCTACTGGTCAGGTCACTAACAGCGCAGGTGCTGCGTTTGTGTCCCCAGAATACGTTGGCACCCTAAACCCTTTAGTGTAATCCTGCTTGAAAATGGAGTCTTCTTTGTTATGTCAGAAGACCCACAGTTGGCTACTTTCCGAAAGGTTGGAGGTTCCAGTCCAGCCAGAGGCACCACAGAAGAGAGGCCTGGTGATCTGGTTCTGAGAAGTCAGCCCCGGGAAGCCCACTTCGGCCTTGATACACATGGGAGGCGCCCTGAGTCGGAATTGGCTGGGGGCAATGGGTTTGGTCTGTTAGTGTGACTGCACTGATGTACGTAGGGGTGGTGTGTCCTCAAACTCAGCAACCTCATCACTTCTGAGTTACAAGGAGCAGAGACAAGTGCAGACACAGAGACAGGGAGCGTGGATGGCGGGAGGCAGACAGCACGGGCCTTATTTCTCTGGTGCTGCTGTTAACAGAAATACCAGTGGGCGGCCTTAGCAAACAGAAATCTACTCTCTTACGGTTTAAGAGACTGGAAGTCTGCATTCAGGGCGTCAGTTTCTCTGTCAGCTCTGAGGGAAGGTCATTGTTAAGCTGGGTGTCCCTGTGAGCTCTCTGTGTGTCTTGGCATCAACCATCCCTGGGTCTAGGAGGTTCTCAGTGCAGGGGCCCTGGGTCCAAAGGATGTGCTCTGCTCTAGACTCCTCTTTCTGGTGGAAGTCCCTCTGATCTTTGCACACTTCTTTAATCCCTTTGATAGCTAAAAAGCGCTTGAGTCAAGACACAGCACAATCCCGCTGGGTGGTATCCTGCCTCATTGACATATCTGTCTCTACTGGGCCTCATTAAGGTCATTTCTGTGAGGATCTACGACATGGAGGATAATCACATCAGATCAAAACGGCTGACTACATGGTATGAGACTGAGAATCATGGGCTAGCCAAGTCGACATTCTGGAGAACACAATTCAATCCCGGGCTTAACAAGGAAATGCCTGAGCTACTGAGGCTGAGAGGCATAAGCTCTCCCCAGATCTGACGAGAGGGCACCTTCTACAACCAGGCCCCTGAATCCAGAACCTGACTGTGCAAAAATAATGGCCTGTTCTTTAAAGCTGCCCACTTGGGGAATTTCTAGGGTAGGGGCGCCAGAACACGCTCTCAACACAACCACGCGCGCCCCTAACCCCTGCCCTGCTAGCCCAAAGCCCTCGCTCTCACCTCGGGAGGACGGCATCAGTGGTCTGACAGAGGTTGGAGACCTCCCTTGCCCCTCGGTAGGCAAACATTTTCCACAGTAGGGGCAGAATTTGAACGTTGACTCAATATTTTGGCCACACTCGGGACAGAAGGTGATCATGCTACGAGACAGAGGGTGGGGGAAAACAAGAGGCGGAAGGAAAACTCAACCCACTGCTGACAAGTGGGGGAAAAAAATCAAACTACCTGCCGCCACCGAGTCCATTCCAGCTCATGGTGACCCTGGAGAGCAGTGGTTCTCGACCTGCGGGTCGCACACCAACTCCTTTGGGGGTCGCTCGATTCATCACAGTAGAAGAATGACAGTGATGAAGTAGCAATGAAAATAATTTCATGGTTGGGGGTCACCACCACATGAGGGACTGTATGAAAGGGTCGCAGCAAGAGGAAGATGGGGAACTGCTGCTGTAGAGGGAGCAGAGCTGTACCTCCGGGTGTCCGAGGCTGCAGATCTTTATGGGAGCAGGCAGCCTCTTCTTGCGCCTGTGGAGCCGGTGCTCGGTTTGAACTGCCGACCTTGTGTTTACACTGCTGATGTTTACACTACTGCGCCACCAGGGACTCAGGTGATGAGCAGATGACCTGACGATCATCCGACCTCTCTATGGTTACAAGGCTACAAGGGCGGAGAGCTTGTCGCACCTGGCGTTCGTCCCCTCGAAGGAGCCCCTGGGCAGCATTCATGGGTCAAAGGGCTCAGCCAAAGGCTGGTGGCTCAACTTTTCCCTGGGGGGCCTCACAAGAAAGGCCCAATGATCCATGAGCTGGAATCGGTACTGTGCCATGTCCGTGCCCACCTTATGTGGAGGCAGGCGGTAAGACGGGGCGTCCTGCTCCCGTACAAAGTTCACGCTCAGGACCTTCACGGGGACAGTCCTGCCCTGTCCGACAAGGCTGCTATGAGCCAGCGCTGACTCCATGGCGATGAGGTTGGGTTGGTTTTGATCCGGAGAGGGAAGTCCTGATGGTGTGGTTGGTCACATATGGTGAGGTCAGCTGTTCTAACCCACCTGCTGTCCCGAGGGCAGGAAGAGGAAGCTGGCTCATCTGGAAACGGGGGGCAGCCTCAGAAGCCCTTTGCGGGACGGCTACACGTTGGAATCACACGATGGCGGTAGGTTTGGGTTTTTCACAGTCTACAGGGGCTTTCTCTCCACACGTGGCTATTAGAAGCAGCACCCGGAGAGTCCCTGGGTGGTGTCAACGATCACGCACTGGAAACGGTTAAACAGTTCGAGCCTGTCCCAGTAAGGGCTGAGGACAGAGCTGGAACACGGAAGCCAGCAAGAAGTGGTGGCAGTGGTATGCCTGGTGAGAACCACAGACCAGCTGATCGGTGAGGTGGGCTTGCTGGTCCACAGGCCAGGGCGAGAACTGGAGCAGGGTTTTCTTTGGGTGCTGTCCTGGGTACTAAGGAGTGGAAACCCTTGTCTGAGTGGGGAAGAGGCCATGAGATGGACGGCCAGCGGACTTGGTCGAGGTGGATCTGGATCCCCAGTGGCAGGCTGTTACTCCCCTGGCAAACCCCAATATGGGCTGTGAGTGCTATGTGGCCGCAGCGATGACTAGGGGGACCCAGCAGAGGGGTAGAGGGGGCAAAGAAGTGGAGAGGGACCGGCTTTGGGGGGGATTCTGGGTCCCTCCCCCCAGGAACTATGGCCAGTTCCAGCCGGGAGGTAGAAACTTACCTTTGTGGGGTCACGGTCTGGCCCTTGGAGTTACTGGGCTGGACAGTCCATCTCCATGGCGCCCTGGAAGTGAAGTGAAGGAGAGGGACTGGCTGGGGCTCCCTTCACATCTGCGTTTCCTGGGCACTGTCTTTGTGGCCAGCAAGTGCAAGCTGCCACGTGTCCACTCAGCATCTGCTTACTGAGCATCGCACGGGTTGTCAGGGAGCTCCAGCAGCCCTATCCGGTGAGTGCCAGTGGTTCAAACCCACCAGCTGCTCCATGGAAGAAAGAGGAGGTCTCTGCTCCCTTGAGGGTCTACAGTCTCAGAAACCCCATTGCCGGTCGCTAGGAGTCGGAATCAACTCGATAGCAGTTGGTGCATTTACTACTTGCCAGGAGGCCTGGTGGCTCAGTGGTTAAATGCTTGGTTGCTAACCCAAAGGTCAGTGGTTCAAAACCAACAGTCACTGTGTGGAATAAATAATGTGGTAATCTGCCTCTGTAAAGATCTACAGCTCCAGCAACCCTGCGGGGGTCAGGGGTGGGGTCGGGGCGGTTCTAAGTTCTCCTAGAGCAGCAGTTCTCAACCTGTGGGTCGTGACCCTTTTGGGGGGTTGGACAACCCTTTCACAGGGGTCGCCTAAGACCATCAGAAAACACAAACTTCCGATGGTCTTAGGAATGGAGATACCGCTCTTCTATCCATCTCCAGGTGGGTCTGCCCACATGCAGATACGCCCTCGTACCTGGCATGAAGATTGTTACCCATGCTACACCATGCTTTAAGATAAAAATTCATTTATTTGTAATTAGAAGTAAATATTTCGAATTGAAGGCTGAACATGATAAGTGGGACAGGAGGAAAGTAAAAGGAAATAAGAGGAAAGAACTAGGAGGCAAAGGGCATTTACAGAGGTCTAAACACAGGCATGTACATATGTAAATATATTTATATATGGCAATGGGGAAACACATCTATGTGCATATATTTTTAGGTTTAGTATTAAGGTAGCAGAAGGACATTGGACCTCCACTCAAGTACTCCCTCAATGCAAGAACACTTTGTTCTAGTAAACTGGCATCCGTGATGCTCACCTTCTCGACACGACCAATGAAGACAAAGCAGGTACATAAACAGATGTGGTGAAGAAAGCTGATGGTGCCCAGCTAGCAAAAGATAAAGCGTCTGGCATCTTAAAGGCTTGAAGATAAACAAGCGGCCATCTAGCTCAGAAGCAACAAAGCCCACATGGAAGAAGCACACCAGCCTGTGTGATCACGAGGTATTGATATGATCAGCTATCAGGCATCAAAGAACAAAAAATTGTACTGTGAATGAGGGGAAGTGTGGAGTGGAGACCCAAAGTCCATCTGTAGGCAACTGGACATCCCCCTACAGAAGGATTACAGGGGAGATAGGCCAGTCAAGGTGCAGTATAGCACTGATGAAGCATACAACTTTCCTCTAGTTCTTTAATGCTCTGCCCTCCCCCCC